ATAATATTCCTTTAACTCACAACATGATATTTAATTTTATTTTCGGATAAAACTAAAATAAGAAAGAATATATGTTAATATATTCCACTTCACAGATGACGTTAGATGAACTCTGTCAACAGGGTGTCCGAAAAGTCTGGAACCATAAGTGTCTTGCAGCTTTTCTTAATTTCAGATACGTGACTGATTATGGCTCTGTCAAAGCATGAAAAGGTCGAGTTAACCCTGCTGTTAATCCAAACTTGTTTCAAATTACAAGGACAGCATGAGGAACACATTCTGTAAAATTCGTTGAAGTGTCTATGGTTCCAGACTCTTCGGATACCCTGTATACTCATGTCTGCTTAACGCGCCTTCCAAACTATGTGTCCACCTAAACGTTTAATCAATCAAAATAAGAATAAAATAGTCTTTTATGCATTGCGACAGCAAAAAGTGTTGTCTGTTGTATGTCTATGTCACTACTTCGCAAAGTGCGGATGGAAACTTCAATAAATTTGGTATGGAGGTTGATTAGGTCCATGCGGGGGTACCTACAAATGTTCAGTTTTGCGGGTTTTATGGGCGTTTTTATCACTACTTTGCCCACTCTAGATAGATCTTCGCCAAAATTGATATGGAGAGTTATTATTAGGTCAATGCGGGGGTGCATACAAATTTTCAGTTTTGTATTTTGCGGTTCTTATGGGCGTTGGATGGATCTTCACCAAATTTGGCAGAAAGGTTTATTAGGCGGAGATATATGGAAACTTGCGGTTTCACATGTTGTGTTTTGCGGTTCTTATGGGCGTTGGATGGATCTTCACCAAATTTGGCAGAAAGGTTTATTAGGCGGAGATATATGGAAACTTGCGGTTTCACATGTTGTGTTTTGCAGTTATTATGGTCATATTTGCGTATGTTTTTTTATTTTTTTATCTTTACAATTACACATAAGAGAAACATCTTTTCATGTCCTAAGATTACCTCTCATTAATCATGAATTTACATAATTTCCGTTTAGGAGACTGGTACTCCAGCTAGTATACATTACGTTACCACAGTAAATTTTCTAAGAGAACAACAACGCTACCTGCAGGTTGTTTAAGAGTAAGATTGTTGTGTGATAAGTTAAACTACACATTTGCTTTACCTAGTTATTTATAAAACACTTCTCTATTTTTCTCTTTTTATCCGTTGAGGTATTTTTTCTTGTGTAGTTCAATGCGTGTTATCATATATACACGACAAATGACTTATTTATTTTCTGTAACCTATACATCACAAGGCAGAATAAATGGGATGCGAGTTCTTTCAATAACAACTGCTCAATGAGCGTAGAAAAACAATTGAAATATTTCTAATGGTACAGTTTAGCCTAAAAGACAATGCGTGGTAAGCCCGGCTTCATCAACAACGACATTTTAAGAAGGTTCTATAGAATTTGTGTTTTTCTCTTCCATTAAACGATAACAGTGTCATTGCTAATCGAATATAATGACAAAGAGCGCTTTTATATATATATCTATGTAACAGTTGTCCGGTTCTTGTGTATATGTTTGTTTGCTGCCTCTCATTGTATTATACGTTTCCTCATTTCTCAACCTTTTTATATCTTATTTTTCAATTTAGATTAACTCAAATATACCTATTTCGAGAAGAAAAAATTAACTGCGATATTACTAAACATCACTATCAACACTAAACTATAGTTGTTCTACGATCAATATAACTGGTTTAGTTGTCTGTGATCGATATGTTTAGTTTAGTTGTTTGTGTTCAATATTGCTAGTTTAGTTGTCTGTGATAGATGCCACTATAAACAAGTTGTCTGTGATCAACACTATTAATTCGGTTCTATATGATAAATACAAAACTGCTTGTCTATGATTAATATCACTAGTTTAGTTGTTTGTGTTCAGTGTTGCTAGTTTACATGTTTGTCATTAACAGTAAGTACTACAGTCTAGTTCAGCGGTTATCAATCTGTGGTCCGTAACTCCCTTTGCTGGTGATCCGTAGAAAGTTTGAATAATTATGGAAAAGAAAGTGGCAGCATAGGTATAGATCCAACTGTGGTTCCACCGAGATGAAAAAAAAACAACTGAAGTAGTCCTGGAACAAAAGAAGTTTGATAACCATTGGTTGAGTTATCTGTTATCAATATCACGTGTCTGTGTTCAACGTTATTAGTTTAGTTTCTAAAATCGATATCAATACAGACAAGTTTGTTTTCAACGTTATTAGATTAGTTGTTTGTGATCGTTATCAATACAGATAAGTTTGTTTTAAACGTTATTAGATTAGTTGTTTGTGATCGATATCAATACAGATAAGTTTGTTTTCAACGTTATTAGATTAGTTGTTTGTGATCGATATCAATACAGAGAAGTTTGTTTTCAACGTTATTAGATTAGTTGTTTGTGATCGATATCAATACAGAGAAGTTTGTTTTCAACGTTATTAAATTAGTTGTTTGTGATCGATATCAATACAGATAAGTTTGTTTTCAACGTTATTAAATTAGTTGTTTGTGATCGATATTAATACAGATAAGTTTGTTTTCAACGTTATTAGATTAGTTTTTTGTGATCGATATAACTCTAGAGAAATTTCTTTTCAATGTTATTAGTTTAGTTTTTTGTGATTACATTACTCATCTTATTAACAATTCTGGCTGTAGCCTTATCTGGCTTGCTGTCTAGTATATAGCCTTAGCTGGCTTGCTGTCTAGTATGTAGCCTTATCTGGCTTGCTGTCTAGTATGTAGCCTCATCTGGCTCGCTGTCTAGTATGTAGCCTTATCTGGCTTGCTGTCTAGTATGTAGCCTTATCTGGCTTGCTGTCTAGTATGTAGCCTCATATGGCTCGCTGTCTAGTATGTAGCCTTATCTGGCTTGCTGTCTAGTATGTAGCCTTATCTGGCTCGCTGTCTAGTATGTAGCCTTATCTGGCTCGCTGTCTAGTATGTAGCCTTATCTGGCTTGCTGTCTAGTATGTAGCCTTATCTGGCTCGCTGTCTAGTATGTAGCCTTATCTGGCTCGCTGTCTAGTATGTAGCCTTATCTGGCTTGCTGTCTAGTATGTAGCCTTATCTGGCTTACTGTCTAGTATGTAGCCTTATCTGGCTCGCTGTCTAGTAGTATGGATAAACTAAACGCAAAACGTATCTTTTCTTTTTGTCTTTTTCTGTAACGTTAATTGCAATTTTGACCTTGCTTATGTTTTGTTTGTTTTAGCTCAAAGCTACACAATGGGTTATCCGCTCTATGTCCAAGTGTTTAGGGCGCTTGACTCACAATCTGGGGGTCGCGGGTTCGAATCCTCATCCCACCAAACATACTCGCTCTTTCAGCCATGACGGAGTTATAATGTGACAGTCAATTACACTATTCGCTGGTAAAAGAGTAGCCCAAGAGTTAGCGGTGGGTGGTGATGACTAGCTACCTTCCCACCAGTCTTTTACTACTAAATTAGGGACGACTAGCGCAGATAGACCTCGTGTAGTTTTGCGCGAAATTCAAAGAAATAAACAATCAAACTGACTTTGTCGAGCCGAAAGAAAGACATGTTGCTTATGCTTGAAAGCTATTTTTAATTATAAGTAACTTCTTCGAAATGTTTACTCATATTTAAAAAAAGAAGTCTTCATTACTGAAACGGTTACATAATTATTTGTGATTTTGCTCAAACCTAATTCGTGCATAAATAACCACAACTCAGTGGTAAGTCTGAGGGCTTACACCGTTAATAATCCAGTTTTGATACTGGCACTTAATAGCCCAGAGTGTATCTTTGTGCTTAACAACAAAAACAAAGAAACAATAAAAAAAATTGTCCCTTGGGGGGTCAATGGTAACTTTATGGATTTACAACACTAAAATTCGGGATTCTATTCCACGTGGTGAACACAGCAGATAGTCCAATGTGACTTTGAACAAACCAACAACAACAAAAGAACAAGTCTATATTAATTATGTCACTAGGTTGTATGATCATGGAATTCTCTACCTACTCACATGTTGTTTTTTGTTTATGATACTGGAGATTAAAGGCGTTTACTCATGTGAACCCTCCAACACAGGATTTTCGCTTTTAATTATTTCACTTATACAGCATTTCTCTTAAGGCGTTCGTAATTAATAAGACTTATGGAATAATCATTGTTTTCAGAAAGTAATTAATCAAAAAATCCAAAGACCAATTAAAAATAAAACGATATTCCCGTCTATGTATCTAGAAAGAATTGAGATACGAGTTTTTTATGACTAGATGTTCATATTTCACGTTAACCCTTTATTTGTTATTTAGCACAAACATGCATAATAGGCTATCTGTGCTATCCTCACCGCGAGTGTAAGAAAACCGATTTTTAGTGTTATGTATCCTCAGACTCACCACAGGGAAGCGTGCTTGGTATGTACTATACTTTACATTTTCACGTTTATTCTATGTAAACAACATGCTTTGTACCTACATCATTTCCACGTCTGTACATCATAGTTCACACTCACAAGTAAAAGTTATGAGTACTTCAGAGTAATGCAGGCGCGTTTACTTACGCAAGTTATCACAACTAAACACATATTAATACATTGTGGAGGATAAAGAAGAATACTTACCGCTCATCTAGATTAAGAGATTAAGAATCGTTGAGAGAGAGCCTTGATAGAGGGCAGCACAGAGCATTGCTGACTGACGTTACCTTAACGACAAGGTTTATAATTTTGCCATGACTACAGTTATCAGACATATATTACACTTGTAATGTTTTTAGCAACTCTTACAATGTGATCGCATAACTAAAGAGTAAGAATTAATAAATAATTCAAAACAAATATGTAAAAACTATTATAATATTGCACGCGAATTTTTCGTCACAGAAGAATTGACTACTGTAAATATTTCTTATTTTATTGTTTTGTGCAAAGCTCAATAGATGGCACTAAATCGAAAATTCTCATCTAGCTTGCCATATGAAATACACCATTTAATTTATAGCCGGTTTATTAGGAGAAACGCATGTTTTGTGTTCTTTCTCAGGGACTTTATTATCTCTTCACAGGAACTGGAGCGTCACATTATCGGAATGAACACCAGTAAGCAAGCCTTAAGATTAGCTTGTGATGGGGACCGTTTGTTCGTACACAAAAACAGGAATTGTAACCGAACGTGAAGTGTGGAGAACACAGGGTTTATTTCACTCCCATAGACAGGATTCCGAGGAATGGGGACAGTTTTCGGTGGAGTGTACAGTTCGTCATTCAGGTTGTCGTAACACTCTAGCTTTCGAGAACCCAGGGTTTGAGATTACGGATATTGAAGATCATTACACAAATTACAGCAGTCTCGATAACATGAACATAGGAATAATTATGTCTGATAAAGTTCGCCACTGTTGCAATACCTGTTTTCAGGATGAAGGAGAATGTGGTTCGTTGTTAAGTTTGAATGGACCTACAGAAGGAAGTTATAACAGCAATATTCTACAGGAAGAGCTATGTGAATGTTGTAAATTTTGTCGTACAGAAAGAAAGAGATTAGGACTAACGGGACCGACCCCGTGTGAAAGTTGCACGTGCATGCTATGCAAGCGGAAACCCCCTCTAATGGCTTGGAATGCTGAAATTGAAAGCATAGCCGAAGCGGTAGAACCCCCGATGGAAATCGTGCCATTTAAGGATGATTTTTGCGGTTTGTGCGACTTCTTCACCGAGGGTAGTCACGAAAATTGGAGCGGACTAGATGAGGATGTAGGTTTGGTGGTGAGAGATTTAGAAAAGCTGAAAAATAGAAACGAGAGGGAAAATGTGAAGGATAACTGTAAGAGGAGAGTCGTCTTTCAGAAAGGGGATAGTGGAACGCAGCATATTATCATTCAGGATGAATGGACGTCCTATCACATCGAAGGTAGGCTGTTTTCTCGAGTTAATAAATCCATAATTTACGAATAAATGAAAAAATAACTTACTAATTTGCTATTTAAAGTTAGCCTCCTAGCGGCTTAGCGATAAGTTCAGAAGGCTTATAATTCTGAAAACCAGGTTTCGATACCCATGGTGGACACAGCACAGATAGCCCATTGTGTAGTTTTGTGCTTAATGAACTAACAACAATTTTAAAGCTAAAATATGATAATATATATATATAATATATGTATGAAATTAACTCTTTAAAGTCCATAAACATGCGAATTAAAATGGAAACAAAAAAGTGGCGTGCATATCTTTCTCTCTCTCTCTTTTTTCGCGTAAATATAGATAGAAAAAATTGATGTGACTAAATCAGTAAGATCGTGGAACCGAAGACGTCAAGTGATGTGACTAAATCAGTTAGATCTTGGAACCGAAGACGTTAAATGTGTGACTAAATTAGTAAGATCGTGAAACCGAAGACGTCAAATGATGTGACTTAATCAGCAAGATCGTGGAACCGAAGACGTCAAGTGATGTGATTAAATTAGTAAGATCGTGGAACCGAAGACGTCAAATGATGAGACTAAATTAGTAAGATCGTGGAACCGAAGACGTCAAATGATGTGACTTAATCAGCAAGATCGTGGAACCGAAGACGTCAAATGATGTGCCTTAATCAGCAAGATCGTGGAACCGAAGACGTCAAATGATGTGCCTTAATCAGCAAGATCGTGGAACCGAAGACGTTTAATGATGTGACTAAATCTGTAATATCGTGGGACCGAAGACGTTTAATGATGTGACTAAATCTGTAATATCGTGGGACCGAAGACGTTTAATGATGTGACTAAATCTGTAATATCGTGGGACCGAAGACGTTTAATGATGTGACT